ATAAAGCACAACATATGCGAGTAATCAGTGTCGGAGGTGCGAGACGTGGTCTTTTGTCTAGATCGCTCGACTATTTGGCCGTCTGCGGCAGCTCGTCGACAGCTGATCCTCTCTCTCTCTCTCAGGAGAGCCTTGTCAAGGAAGTGGATGCCGAGGTGCGAATATATTCCGTCCATATAAGCGGTTGCGCACTCGTCAAGTTGCAGGAGAATTAACAGGTTTTCTCTGCCGAGTAGCGCAAGATCGTCACAATGATGCGTGTACGAGCTCGCGCGGTGCGCGTTCGAGAGATTTAAATTTTAACGCTCAGCCCGGGACGAGCCTTCGAGCGTGTGCGTAAAATGTGTGTGTATGTGTGTGTGTGCGGTACAACAAAAGATGGGTGAAAAATGGAAAGGCGTGAACCGTGTGTTGCGCGTTACAATGCTCGCACGCTGCATACATGCTTTGGACAGGCTGCGGGGAACCTCCTAATTGGCCAGACCGCACGCTGCGACCATTTTGTTCTCGCTGCTGCTGCTGCTGCTGCTGCTTCTTCTTCTTCTTTGCCTGGGGTGTCAAAATACTGCTCTGCTCGCGACGCGACGCTGCACTCCCGATCTCTCTCTCTCTCTCTCTGCGCGTCTTACGAGGGATCATGTACGCCACTCGAACTGTATATAATAGAGAGAAACTCGAGGACGTGTCGAGGATTAAACTCGATTCGTTAGAGCTCGTTTCTCTGTCTCTCCCTTCGGCACACGAAATAATGTATTTAGAAATTGCGCCTAGATCGTCCATGTACACACACACACGTTTTTCAAGCTCATTATCCGGCAATATCCATGACACGCTGCAGCAGCACCTATTAGCGCGAGTACGAAGCAGGCGTACTTTTCACACCAGACATTCGAGAGCTGAAACTATGGCCAGAGAGGATGCTACGCACGACATAATTGCCAATTTCCATTGGTAAATGTTGCAATAAGTTTATTCTTTTACGACGCATGGCCTGAGCATCCAAGTCCTCGAGTGGATTTTTTTTAGTAAATATAGTATTCAACGGCTAGCTACTTATCGCGTTTCATCAAGAGCTTTGCTATGCGTTAACGCAGACACATCGTTATCTCAAAAGGTAAGGTACGAGATGCATAACTCAACTTGCGGTTAATTGACGCTCGCGAGCTTACACTTTTTCAGTGCAGATGTCGGACGAGTTGCGTATACCGAAGCTCGAGACATACGCGCGTATATATGTGTTTTCGTCAATTCGCTATTCGATCGACGATAGCGTCTCGGCGACATTTCAGCTGCAACGGATCGTATCGTTAGCGGACCGAAAGGAACAAAAAATAATCGTTTACACCTTTGGCAAAAGGTCTAGTGGCTCTCTACGGTGCGCAGGCATTACTCTAAAGTAGCTCGTACATTGTGTAAAGCCATAAACGCGCCGAACCGACTGCACTCGTGGTACATAGCTTGGGCGTAGTTATTGTTCAGCGGCTCTGAGATATCTCACGATACAAATCGTACATGATATACGTCACGAGCTAGGTAAGCTTGACTGCGGCTATTCGTGTTTTCTCTAGCCATCGAAGCCCTAAAAGCATTTCTTAGTAAAAGCGCGTGTGTATCGGCCTCGACATCGTACACACGCGTATAATCTTAAACTCTCTTTTTACTTTACTCATGGACAGTATATAAGCAATCGTCTCTATTATTTCGCACTGCAAGTCGAGAGTTGGAGTTATCAGCTGAAAGAACGACTTGGAATTTCTCTCTCTAGAGCCTCGCGTCGCATCATCGATCGACTGCGATGTATAATCGTTGGCGTTTTATCACGGGGAAAAAGCTCCGGCAGGCTCAAAGACTATTATATAAGACGATGCTCGCGATCGATGAGCTGTCGCTGTGCGCTGCGCTCCATTGAGAAATCGAGAAGTAATTAAATGAAAGCATTTGGCTGGCAGCGCAGTCTCGAGGAAGCTCGAGAGAAAGAGCAGCCTTTGCTCCTTGATGAGCCTCTTAACGAGATTCTGCTGGATTATCAGCAATTATCGAGGCTTCGAGCAACGCGTTAATTGCTTTATCCACAAACTGCCACTGCAAACTTGTATTCTCTCTCGCTAAAAGTCATATATTCGCGGTTAAATACGTTTGCCGCGGCAAGAAGAAAGAAGTAGAGGAGCTCGATGGGCCTGGCAGTGGCTCTGGCTTGGTAGTAGCTCGACGTCGATCGTCCTATATACGTGCAGCTCATCAACGCTAAGCGTCGTCGAATTCGTTTCCCGACTGCGAATCTCCGAGTGACTGAATTATCCAGCTTTTAATTCATCTCGCACTTAAATACATTACATTTTTTTCACCTTCGCTCTTATTCCGGTGACTCGAGCATTCATCAATTTTAGGTATTTTTGTCTTGCGTGATAAAAAGAGCTACTTATGTCTCTGGCAAGCAGTAACCAACTTATACTCTCCGCTCAGCTGTCGCTTCGCACTTATACGCGGCTAATTAAATTTTAGCAAGACTCGCACGAGCTCGCTACAGAGAAAGAACTACGATAAAGTGTGTGTGGGAGGAAAAAAGAGACGAATTGCGTATAGGCCGGGGCGCTTGCGCAGATCACCACTACCACCAGCCAACCGACCAGCCAACGTCGAGGACTATGGACGAGGACGAGCGAGATATATAAAGTCCAATTACTGGGTAATTGCGTAAAGACGTCAGTCTCCTGCAGCTTAAGAGGATTCTCTTGGGCGCGCGTGGCCCATTGTAGTACATAGCAGCGCGTATTAGTACATAGCAGCTATATATACACGCGCGTCGGCCAATCCGCTGTAGGACTAAGCGCGAGCTTAGCGCGGCCACGAACACAGCAGCGGCGGCGGCGGCGGCAGCTCCATTAAAATTCGCAACCCCTCGCACCGACGCAGCAGAGAAAAATTTCACGTCGTGGGAGCTTTTTTCTCGCCGCCGCCGCCAACTTGGACAGCTCGCGCGCGCGGGCCGCCGCCTCGATGGAAAAATGCTTAAAGCGTACCGCAGGAGGAGGCGGGTGCAAAAAAGCTGCTCGGCAAGCGTGAAAAACTCGATAAGTCAGGGGGAGGGCAAGAAAGCAAGTCGGCCGGAAAGATTGTCCGCGCGTCGTGCGTATACGCGGCTGCTGCTCTTTCAGCTGCACTCCTAGACGACTACGACTTGGCAGAGCGCCTGAAAGAGCAAACGTTCTCAGCGCCATATATTGAATTAGTTTGCCCAGGAAAAATTGAAAAATTTCTTAAACTGAAGCAGCTCTCTCTCTCTCTCTCTCTGCAAGCTCTGATTCTCAGCGCCATATATTGAATTAGTTTGCCCAGGAAAAATTGAAAAATTTCTTAAACTGAAGTAGCTCTCTCTCTCTCTCTCTCTGCAAGCTCTGATGTAGATATAGATGTGCAGAGTGTACCGAGTGCTCGATGACTCGGGATGTTTGCGGCTGCCTCGGCAAGCTGAGCGTACGTATAAAAAGTCAAGAGGGAGGAGAGACGAACGACACAAGTTTGCGAGAGAGAGAACTGCTCTCACCGTGAAAACTCGCTTAGTGAGATGAAAGAACGGCTAACGACTTATTTTCGATGTATATAAGGAAAAAGTTAAGGCGAACATCTTGATTCGCTCGAGCGCTATCGAGCGCTGCGGCCGAGGTTCGGCTAAGCGTCGCAGCTTCCACGCAGCCGACTCTCATCTGTTGCAGTTGAGTTATCCTGCCCGAGCTTATATCGCATCTTTTTCGAATCGCAACTTCACGCTGTAGGCGCACAAATAACGAATTCTCGTTACAGCAACGAAAAAATAATCAATTAGCATTAGGCGAGTCGCGAGTGTCGGAATAACAAAAGCTGTATGTTATGTCCCGCGTCGAATGACAATGAGCAATTTTATATTTTTCAAGAGGCTTCGAGGTATACGTCATCAATTCAACGCTCATAGCAATGCTCTAAGCCGTATACAAGCCAGAGAAGGAGAGCGATTTAAAGAGCACAAAGCAGAAACAATTTCGCAGTCAATTTGTCGCTTCATAATCTCTCTCTATAAACGCGCTATCATTCCCTTAAAGTTGTTCGGCCCGTTGCAACCCCCGCACTTTGACTGCTGCTGCTCCCCTTATTTAGCCCGCACTCTACGTTTTATACACACACATCTGTGTACATAGCAGCATGCAGGGATATAAGCCATTGGAACAAAAGCTCGGCTATACAGGAGTAAAAAAATTGTGTCTTCTCGAGCGTATTAGAGATCGCATTTATTTTATGTAAGAAAATTCGATTCCACCGAGAGAGAGAGAGTAAAAAGTACAGAAGAGAAAAAGACATCGTCGCGCGCTGCGGCGCAAAACTACCCGAGGCGTAAAATCAATGAAAAGTCAATCATGCTGCGGGGGCGACTCTCTCTCTCTCTCTGCGCGTATATAAACCATATACTTAGTTTCGCTCATAGAAGAGCCTAGCCGCAAATGGACTATAGGCAAGGACGACGACAAACTGCACAAGGGGCCACGCTCGCAGCTAGCAGGGACTTTATTGGATTTTCTCCTCTTCGACGCAGAGCCTACGCACAAACACAGACACATACTCGAGACGCGCATAACGACATATTATCATGCTAAAAAGTCGCTTGTTTAGGCCTAGCATGCGTGTTTACGAATACTCATCTCTCACACCCCCGTGTTTAAGGAACGTCGGGACTTGTCGAGTACGGGTGCAGTCAAGAGTCAAAGCTTGCGATGAATTTTTCGAGCTACGACTTGTCTTAAATAAGGGACAACTAGCCAAGTATATTTTGCCATTATCTTTCCTTGTCAAGAGTCTATAATAGTATTTGTCATCATTAACTTTTGTATTTATCAATTAAACGTGTTTATAAACGAAATACACATACTCTAAAAACAGATGATAATATGTAAACAAATCAAAACTCTCAATTCTCTCAGTTCTCGATTGACCGCTGTGATAATTGATCGCGCTTTTCCAAGTATTGCAAGATGTCTTTAATCGAGCCAGTGATCGCTGCGCCGGACAATGACGAAGCGTCGCGGACAGCTGAATCCACCGTATGCAGCGTCTGCGAGACATTGATCGAGCCAACGAGCTGCAGGAACAAAACAAAATCCGCATCCACGCGGGCTTTCAGAGTTTTCAAGTGTCCGGACTGCTCGAAAACATTTACGCTGCAGCAACATTTGAAACGGCACGTAAAGACCGTCCATGGCCACCTTAAAGAGCTTAAGTGCGACCAATGTAATAAGAGCTTCCGCGACTCTACGTATCTGAGGAAACACGTCGATGTGGTGCACAAAAAAGTAAAGTCGTTCCAGTGCCCCCAGTGCAGCAAACTGTTTGGATTTAAGGAGAATATGAAGAAACACTTGCGCGCGTGTAAAATACAGCTATAGATTTGGCATAATTTCAACTTGATTATATGTAGCGTAGACGTTTCTTTTATTTTTGACCATTATAATATTCTTTATTATATATACCACATGGAAAGTTAAATTTTCCAAACAATGACGATAAAATATTGTTTTATAAATATTTATTCTTTTTAGTTGTTTAATCTTAATGCATTTGACATTGTTAAAAATTTAGACTTTTTTTATAATGATGAATAAAAATTCATGCATTATTCGGACTATGAAATGTTTTTATTTTATTTAATTATAGAAAAGCTCTTGAGTATTCATTTATCTTCGTAACTTCCTACTTGGCTCATTTAGTTCATAGCAAATGTCACGTACGTTTATTTGCAGGCAACAATCGAATAAACATCGAGAGAAAAAATATTGGAAAATAAACTTAGCGATTGAGTCGATATAGCTTCTATTGGTAAAGTGATTTTTTAGACACGCACGCGAGATAATGACATTTAAAATTTCTTACGTGTGTAGTTAACGCGGGGCAATGTTGAAAGGAGGGGAGATTTCAGGGTTACGGTTTGTTATTCAGTGCAAGCTCTCGATTTACGAGAAATTTCAAATGTAGCACTTTATGCTGGGCAAGTTTAGCTCGTAGTTATCGAATACCTGCACTTACTCAGTAGCCATGGGATTGCAGAGAATTTAAAATTGAGGAATAAAATGTGTGAAAACACACATTGATCGTTAGCTTGGCCTACTATTTCACCTAGCTCATAACGGAAATGAAAACTCAGAGAATAGAAAAGCCTCGTCTCGTGCTCACGTTGATTTTCGTCCAAGGATAAAGAAGAAGCTGTAACATCAGCAGCAGAAGAAGCGCGACGGTGACGGCGAAGACGACGAAAAAGACGACGAGGTGAGCAAGGCGAGAAGCGAAAAGAAACGCGCGAGAACTCTAGGCAACGGCACTTTGATCGGTAACTCAGTTTATACGAACGATACGCTTGGGCAGGGGAGGTAAAAAGAGAGAGAGAGAAGAAACATCGACAAGGCCGACGTCACAGGAAATATCGAGCTTTCAGAAAAAGGCGAAAGGGAACGTTTGCGCGCGCGTCGGCAGAATATACGTCGCTCTCTCTCTCTCTCTCTCTCTCTCTCTCTTGTAGCCTATCTCGCATCCGAGTTGGCGATTTTTCATATCTACCCGGCAAAAGTCTAAACGTATTTTCGTCGCAGAAAAAAAGAATATTACATCTATATCGGCGGCAGCAGCAGTTTCATTGAGAGCCGATAATCGAGTGATCGGTGCTGCGCTCGAATCAATGATCGACTTCAATTTAATTCGAATGTATATAGTATGTATGTGTAAACCAATTGGTTGCTTGTCTAAATTACTGCCATCTATATAGCCCCGCATCTAAGACGTCTTACGATCGGCAAGGATTAGAAACTGCATTTCTGATATTCGCTCCTTATTAGATCGCGCGACGTACTTCGCTATATATATCCAACGAAACGGATTCTCTCCTCGTTTCCTCAGCGAAATCGTCGAAATTAATTAAATTTTGCGTCGCTTCGAGTATTTTTTTGCAATTGATTGGTAAAAAGAGATAATTTGAAAAAGTTGATTTGAATATTACGGTAATGCGATGCGAGTATACATTGGTAAGTATTTCACTAAAAAAGCTCTATACACGCCTTTCATTCGTGGTAGAAAAAGTGGAATTGTCGTGAAATAGGCAAATGAAAAATGCCACAAACAAAACGTGAAACAGAGAAAGAGAGTCGCAGGCAGGCAGTCGCGCGCACGACACAAGGGAAAAGCGTTGATTGAAAGAAACACGCGGAAAAGTAGAAAAAGTCAAGGTATAAATGTGTATGTGTGTATGTATGCTGGGGCAAGCGATAGAAAATCAAGTCTCGGTTGAAAAAAGACGCGAGCTCGTATGCGTTTGTGGGGATAGATGCCGCTGCGGCCGGGTCAGCATGGTGCTGTGCTGCTGCTGCTGCTGCCGTGCTCGAGAGGGAGCCGAGCGAAGAACGAAAAAAGGGATGAACGAATGCCAAGGGCGCTCTCTTTCTCTCTCCCTCTCGCGAGCTCGCAGGAAAAATGGGAAAAGTGGCGGGGCTGTGTGTGCGAGAGAGAGAGAGGCTGGTGGCGATGGCATGGATGGTGGCGCTCTCTTGAAAGAACCAATTCTATCCTAATAGAAAAATCCTCTCTCTCTCTACCCTCTACATGCCTCAGTCGCTCGCGCGAGCTGTGCTGAACCCAATTTGTGCCGCAAGCCGCAAAACGTGGCTTGACATTGACTTGCCTCTTGCCTCTCTCTCGCTCGCTTCTTTTTCTCTCCTTTTTATACCAAAGCGAATCGAATTTATAAAAACCCATGCAGATATATAACTCGGTCCGGGACTCGGCTTGATATTTGTGGCTCTCGCTTGCCTCGAGTCTAGTCTTGTCGCGCGGCGCAGCAGCTTTTCCATACGCGCGCACAATGGCAGAGATGAAGTGTCATACAGAGCTTCCATTTGCAACTGCGAGACGCGAATTTCTCTCTCTCTCCTCACTCCTTTCGCTGCGCCGAAGCGGAAGATTTTCGCTGCGCCTCGAGAGTAGACGACGCCGCTTCAGCGACTTTTTTTTCCATCAGGCACGCGCGTTTTACGCCTTTGAGACTGCACCTCTCAACATTTGTATACGCATTTACGGAGTTGAAAAATATTCTTTAGCTCTTCATATGTGTATGATTGCACGCGCTTATCCATCTACGAATTTTCGACTTTTATATAAAGCCCCTACGATTGGCAATTTTGAATATTCCCAGCTCAGGACCTTAACAAAACGGCCAAATTCACTTTAGCATTGAAATCGTGTTCGAATTTTTGTGTATTGAATATAAGAGCTGCTTTTTTACTCGTGTCTTCGAGTCGTCAAGTGGAATCTCTTTGTTTCGAAAAAGCCCTCCGTAATAACCACGACGTACCCTATGAACATATTTTCCGCCGCCAATGACAAATTAGTTCAGTAGTTGCGCTGCAAACAAATCTGCGTTTTGCGGAATTTTTCATCGAGGAAAATTTCATTGTTCAGCATTGTCTAACCGATAAAAGCTCTTCAATTTACTATACTCATCCAATTTCCGATATAGGATTATGTTGTAAACAAGAGATTTTGAAGAAAAAGAAATTCGTTCGTTATAGGTCGAGGCAATTGGGACGAATTATACAATTGAAAAAACTTTTGAAAAGATTTCAAAAAACCAATCTCAATGGTCATTGATGAAACTTTTCGATACTCGTTTACCTTTTTTTACGGAGTCAGGTCTAAACGATTTAGAAAAAAAGAATGCGAGCACTAATTGGAGACCTTCATTGAAAGTCGAAACAGTCGAGTTAATTAAAAGCTCGCCAAGTGCCTGGCAATGTCAGAGAAATACTCGCGCGCTCACGAAAACGACGCGCCAGCCAAGCCCACGTCGACGGCGTGCGAGACATCAAACGAAATGCAATCGCTGCTGCTGCCTGCTGCTGCCGATAGTACTAGCCAAGCACTGGGAGTCGTTGAAAAATCTCAGCAAGACGCGTAGGTCGCGACGCGATATCACAGGCAATCATGGGTGTAAAATCGAATTGTGTGTGTTTATTATACACCGATGACAGAATCTCTCCTTTTTCTCTCTTATCTCGAAGCAGATGATCTTTGGACTCGAGCGATGCACATGTGCGCGCGATCGGTGAGCGGTAATTACAAAGTATACGTGTAGAGCCAAAGGAGCCTCGAGGTTTGACCTGTCCTGCAGCAGCGGCAGCGGCACATGGTCGTCGGCCGACAAAAAAAGGGGTGCAAAAGGACATCCCGCTGCGATAAATACCGTAGCGCTGTTTTGTGCGTCGCTCGCAGCACGAGTCCATATACCGTACATACATAAGATCGCAGAAGAGAGCACAGATCTGATTAGAGATAATGGCGAGTGCACCAGAATGGCGCTCGTCGCAGTGTGTGTATATGTTTGCGTTGCGTTCGAGCGCCAGAGGCAACAGCGATTCTCTAATCGATTTTTGATCCGAGTTAAAGCTTCACCCAAAAGCGCTTTTCACCCCCAGTGACGCTATCCCAAACTCGCTTATATGCTCTACGCAGCTCTCCTGTTTCAACGCTGCTGCTTTGTGGGAGGTCTCAATCTGTTCGGCTGCTGCGATCCTCGCTCCTTCTAATATTACGTATTTTTCTTTTTCTAATTCTATTTGCTCGGCAATTTATACGAGCCATCGTGTGTGTTGGTCTTTAGGCCGGGTGGCTCTCTTCATTCGAACTCGACTTGCCACATTAACTATTTATATTATACAAGGTAAAGTATGTAAACCATAAGTATTTTTTCAATTTGTAGAAAAGTTTATTTTGTTTCCATAAAAAAGTCATGCATCGTTAAAAGTACAACTATAGTATAAATGTGTGAGTATAAAAATTGAGGGATGATTGCGCTTAGGCAGCGACGGGCAGAGCCGATTGGCCGCACTTCTGGAGGGCCTCGATGACCTGGGCGCTCTCCTTCTGGAGCTGGAGGAAGGCGTGTCTGGAGGCGCAGTATCCGAGGGAGGCTGGCACGGTCAGGGCGAAGCCGGACAGCTTGGCGATCTCGACGGTCATGGCTGGGATCCTCTTGAGGACGATCCAGTTGGCCTTGACTTGGGTCTTGGCCAGGCAGCCGACGGCTGGCATGATGGTGCCGAGGCTCTCGACGCTGTGGACGCAGGCATTGGCCTCGTCTACGTTGCTCTTGAGCTCCTCCAAGATTTCGTAGGCGTTGTTCCTCATCTCCTCCATGGTGTTCTGTCCATCTTCCATCTTCTGGGCGACGCACTGGTTGGCTTTGGAGGCGACGTTGAGGGCGTCCTGGCGCAACTTCTGGGCCAAGTTCAGGCACTCGGAGTTCTCGATTTTGCCTTCGGCGACTCCGTTTTGTACGGCTGCGACTTCAGCGTCCAACTGCAGAAACACAGATTGAGAGAGTGAGTAAACGGATCGCTGGATAATA